ATATGCACAGTTCAGAAAGAGTTAAATTTCTATTTTTTCCATTTTCCATTTCTCCTCATTCCAGCAATTCGTATCTTTACATTTTGTTCTCATCATGTACAAAGAATAATAAATATTTCATGTTTTTATTAAAAATTGCGCTATTTTTATAAATTTCTATACTATTTTACGTTATTAAGTTAACTTCGTCAAATAAATTTTGCCCTGATAACATATATCTCATTAAGAAATTAACCTTTCGACGAAATGACGTGTTGAATAAGCGACTTGTCTCATAAATGACCCTGTCGTAGAAACAACCCCGGCGACGAATTGACCCGATCGATAAAGTGAACTGCCGAATGAACTCGAACAGTAATGTCTCCTTCTATAATCAGGTTTGCTGAAAACTTTGTCCTGTCAGCACATGTAATTAAAATAATGAATCGAACGTTTCAAAACATTATTAAAAATTCACTTTTTACGCTTTTACCTAGTAATCTCTTTGGCAAAAAAAATTTTTTTTAATTTTATTGCAACCAAAATCTAAACAGGGATTTAGAAAACAAGTCTGTAGATGAAGTTGCAGTGGTAACTGAGCAAAATTATTAGATTAGAATTTTATCTCAATATAATCGGGAATTAAATTATGTTATTATAATGAGAATTTTTGGGATCTTTTAATTAAATAATTTTTAATTTCTAGGTAAAAATTTCTCTAAAAAAATTTTTTTAGAATTTTTTTATTAATAATTATTTATTTAATTTTCATAGAATTATCGTCAAAGAAAAAAATAATAATTTCGTAGCTACCAAAGTGATTAGTGAGCGAAGTAAGCTGGGCACACAGGAAAACTGACAATTTAATAAGAATCTTTTAACATACCTGCAGGAAAAAATTTTGCAAGAAATAACTAGTAAAGAAAAAAATCTTACCACAGTCACAATATTGTAGCATTATGCAATCTAAGAAAGGTCCCATAGCAGATCCCATAGCTTGATCATATGCACTTTTAAAAAAACTCAAATTAAGTGCGTTGATGTGTGCTACTGTAACCAGGATACAAATTAATTTGCAAATGGTAAACATTTTCGTTCTCCTACGTCGATATAAATATTGCTTTTCAAAAAAAATTCTGCACACTTAGCGTAGGGGAATATCATTTAAATAGGAACACTTTTTCCTCTTAATTGTTCGTGAATTCAAATGCAACTGAATAAACATAAAACTGAATTTTAGATTGAATGTACTTAAAAATGAATCAATTATTCTTGTAGATAATAACTTTTTAAACGTTTTCTATTTACCTACGATTATTTCAATTTTGTTTTATTAGCAAGCTACAGCGTCTAAGCCTTTTTTTTCTACACATCTTGTTACTAAGGGTAACAAAGCAAATTTGAGTACTTGATTTAAAATGTGGTATTTTGATCTTCCAGTTTTACTTTATTCATAGTTAAACCTGCAGTGCTCATAGTTTTAGTATGTATAGAATTTCAATACTCATTAACTGAAACAAATTTGGAAGGTAATGTCATTTCTTTTTCTTCTGAGTCCCTACATCCTGGCGCTACCCCAGTCCATCCTATGTAGTTTCTGCAATCTGGTTTCACCTATGGCAAAGGTTTGTCCTGTGTCCCTTTATACCCATTTAAACGAAGCCTGATTTATCAAGCCCGGGACGACACAAGATCACGTGATGTCCTCCGATTCTCCTACCTTGCTTTCATGCATGCTTAGCCAAGCTATGAAAACTTCGAGTCAAGCAGAAATTCAGGAGGCACATGATGATTGAGTCTTTTCGTCTCGTGGTTAGTATTTGACAATCCGTTATTCTTAGCATCAGGAATGGTGTTTATTTGACGAGCCTTTTATAAAACTTGCGACAACAAAAAACTGCTTTCAGACTTCTTTTTTTTCTCCAGAACTCGAGTAAATAGGTTGTTATGGATGATCATCAAGTTTCTTTCAGCACATTTGAAAAACCTGAATGATGGCCTTCTTTGTTTTCTAGATCTTATGGGATCTATTAAAATTACAGAAGAATTATGCATTTGAAGCTTTCTTTTATAGCTTAACAAAAGAAGCAATTACTGCCGAATGTTTAATAATAAAAACTTCAGATTGATAAATGAAGATCTCTACTAATGAAAAAATGTAATGATATACATTATTCTTCATATATATAAAATCTTTATATTATATTCTTTGTATAGTGATCTTAAAAATTAATAAACTTGGTGGACCATATAACACCTCACATTTGGGAATAGCATAAAAATCTATACCTAAGGTTAAAAAATAATTACCTGAGGTCGAGCATAATACACTTCACGTTAGTAAAAAATTATCTTTCCAAGTGTTAAAAGATACACCTGAGGTAGATTTATAATAACCTGAAGTGTGAACACCACAGGTTGATAAATAAATACCTCTACAAGCATAAAATTAGATACTGGTTGAAAAATAATTACCTGAGGTAGAACAAAATACACCAGAGGTATATTTACAATTACCTGAAGTGTAAAACGACACACCATAGGTTGAAAAATACATACCTTTACAAGCATAAAATTAGATACCTGAGGTTGAAAAATAATTACCTCAGGTCGAACATAATACAATTAATACACTTCATGTTAGTAAAAAATTGCCTTTCCAACTGTCAAAAAATACACCTGAGGTAGATTTATTATAAGCTGAAGTATTAAATGAAACACCTTGGGTTGTTGAATAAATATTTCCCCAAGTGTAGAAAAATATACTTCAAGTTGATAAGTAATAACCTAAGGTTGAAAGTGCAACACCTTAAAGTAGTAAATATCTACCTCTCCACAGATGTAAAATTAAACACCTTAGGTTGATACATATAAACCTCTGGAGGTATATTTAAGGTATATTTGAGGTTAATTTTGAGGTATCCATTTGCACCCTTCTCAACCTAACGACGTATTTAAATAACAACCTCCTTTATACCTTTAAAATATACCTCGTTTATACCTGAGGTAATTANGAAGTATTAAATGAAGCACCTTGGGTTGTTGAATAAATATTTCCACAAGTGTAGAAAAATATTCTTCAAGTTGATAAGTAATAACCTAAGGTTGAAAGTGGAACACCTTAAAGTAGTAAATATCTACCTCTCCACAGATGTAAAATTAAACACCTTAGGTTGATACCTCTGGAGGTATATTTGAGGTTAATTTTGAGGTATCCATTTGCACCCTTTCAACCTAACGACGTATTTAAATAACAACCTCATTTATAGCTCGATTTTTTTCGTAAGGGATTCCCTATATTATCTTTTTCATGTGTTACTTTTTCGATAATGATCGTGATATTATCGTATTCTATAATTATGTTTATCGATAATTTTCACGATATTTTATTATTTTATAATTAATTTTTGTAATCACTATTATTATAATTTAGAAATTTTATATTATTATAATTAATGGTTGCAATTTTGTCCTATTTTATCCACCTATGTGTGTAATATCGATAATCAGTTACCTGAGTTAACCAGAATCTCACGCTGTTATTTCCTGTTGGTGAACTTGGCGTCATTGGCATAACTGTTAAGCGCCAAACATTTTTATGAAAAATCAAAACATAATAGAGTGAAAACCGTCAAGGTGACCACTTGTCTAAGTTGATCTCTCTTTTCAAGAACCGTATTTATCCTACATGAAAAGATGGGTGAAAACCCTTAAACCTGACCACCGATCTATCTTGTATGTTGATCACTGAAAAAAGTTTACTTTATAAAGCCTACTTCTGCCCTGCTAATATTACCTTGTGCTTTTTCGCCTAAAATTACATTGGCTAAAAATGATATTTTTATTAATATTTCATTTACTGTTTTCTTTCATAAATAATTGTTTTTTTATTAATACTATGGGATAACCTTTCGCAAAAATGCGGCACTATACCAAAAGTAATGAAATAGATGATTATTTTGAAAATTCGAATGTTACTATTAGAAGATAGGATTCAAGAGTATTGCGTTTTCTAGCACGGCAGTGTTATATTGCATCTTTCTGATATTAGATCATATCTTTTTGCTACTTTGGTATATTGAATGCTATTCTGAACCCTTCAAAAGTCAACAAAGAAAAAAAAAACTTTTTAAGGAAATTTTCTTTGATAATTAAAATTTAACTGAAGGGGTGTAATAATATTTTAAATACTATCTAAACTCTTTTGTCAGGTGATTATGTGGGAAAACTATTAAGAGCTTTTGTAAAAAAGTAAGTTTTTAAGTGCAAAAAATAAATGCAAAATCTTGAAATGAATAAAATGTCAATTTTTCTAATTGCATGCATGTTCCCGTGCATTGTCCTGATAAGTAATTTTCATGAAATTTAAAGTAATTTTCATGAAAAAAATGTCAAAATTATGAAATGCTGAGCTACTAAACTTGACCAATTAGCCCTGGATACTTCCTAATCAAAATGCCATAACTAACAGAAAAATCTTTTTTTTTTCCTTCAGTTTTTATGCTTGTTTATTTTTTTAAATTCTATATTTGCTTTTTTCTTTTTGTTTTTTGTTGCTATATGCTAATTTTTTTCTCTTTTTTCTATCTGTCTTGTCTACAATCTTAACCTTTAACCGATAAATGATTTTCAAGGGCCATAGGCGTAGGGTTAAATATTGATGTGCATGTGTGTACCTGTGCATCTATATTTAAAAAAATTATTTGAAGAGGGAAAAAAATAACTAACATGCATCACTAACAAATCATGCATATTTGTTTTTCTTTTAACTTATAAGTTTAGTAGTTAATTTATGTAACAACTTGTAGTTCATTACATTTATTAATCTCATTTGAGATGTAAGGAGTATTTCCAAAATTACATTCTCAGTTTGCCGGCCAGGGGGCCGAGCGGTTAACGTGCCTGACTGTGAAGCTAATAGCCGCGGTTTCGAATCCCGCTCTGGGCATGGATGTTTCTCTCCCTTGTGCTGTCCTCTGTTGTGTGTGATGAGTGAATGTGACCCACCCTATGAACGGATTTGTGGCAGTGTAGCGTGGGCAATGTTACTCGCCTCCGTGACTTTGGTTCACAGGTAACGCGAAACCACTGGGTAACGCGAAATGAGTAACAACTGTGGCATCTTCTAAGGCGAAACGAATAAAGTAAGTTCAGTACCTGCCATTCGAAAAAGAAACGAAACGTTTTGCTTACATTTATATTTATTATGATTGACAATATATAAAAAATATATATAATGTAGGAACATGAATAATATTATGAGTGTAGGAATAGCAAATCGTCCCCCTCTATATGTCGACCACTAAACCTTTGAATTACAAGTGGTTAACTTATGCATCTTTCACTTAATTTTATTTTTTTAATTTAATTTGTTTTATTTTATTTAACAAGCACTATTTTCAAAAACATTTTAACACACTGTGCATGCTTTTTCATTTCATGTAAGCCATAACACCATTTGTTGTCAAAAGTAAATAAAAAAACTACATTCATTATTCAAGGCAAGCTGATAAATATTCAATGCTTATAACACACTGATTAGCATATCTTTTATGAAATATTTAAATGACTTTACCTAGTATATAAAAAAACATGATATTTAAAGAACATTGCAGTACTAATTCTGCAGCATTAAATGGTACCTAAGTCACGAAATAATCATTTCTAAATATTTGTCTAAAAAACCAATAGGACTGCAATTGTTTGGCACAGAGCAAATAAGCTGCAAGCAACTTCCTTTAATGCTATATCGTGCCCTCTAAAGTGAGATAGTATTTACCAAATCATAAAAGCTCTTTCACAATCCAGTTTTACATTTTCACCTTTTCGGAATAAAATAGTACTTGTGAATGTTCTTTACATTGTTTCAAAAAGGAGTGTTCGAGAACGATTAGATTCTATCAAATTTGAAAAGTGCCTTGTTCCTATATTTCTGTATGTATGCTCAACGTTGCATTGTTTGGACTAAAAATTTCCTCTTAAAAAATTCGATTTCGTATTTCTTGACTTATACGGGTATTATTGGCTATAATTTTTTTAATCTTGATCAAGTTTCAAATGAGTTCATCATTGCAAAAAATTATAAAAAAAGTCTCAAATTGTCCTACTTTTCA